AGATGACCGCTCAGTCAGCAGTATATATAAGAAAATATACCAAAATTACTCAGTTGATAACAAAGTCCAAAGGAAGAGGGGATCAACTCCTTACAACGCTTTATACTCCAGGAAGGAGGAAGGATGGGTCAGGAGAATAACATCAACCACCATTGGGACTCGACCCCTGAGAGAGAGCCTAAAGTCAGCAATCTTATTGTAAGAGGCGTCTGTCCAGAGCTGTAAGAAGCGAGACCATGGAGGCCAGAGAGAGTCTAAAGTCTGCAAAAGAATTGGTGTGGGGCAGGGTCCAGTTCTTATTGTCAAGACCAGAGGCCAGGGTCAAGCAGCAAATCCTCCAATTGATTCTTTAAGCAGAATTGTAACTAATCTACCCCTTTGATTACATATTATATCAATTTAATCTTAACACAACATCACATCTAATTTACTGCAGACTATAATGGGCAGATAACTCAAATACTGGCCCCTCATCTCTGTCAACTTCATCCAGCTGCCTGACCCATTGTTGATTCTCCACCAGCTGACCCGCCCTTACCCCACCTAGCTCTGAGAACAAGGTGGGATTTAGGAACTAGGACGGAGAGATTTTCCGAAATACTGATCAGTTGGTACCATGATGGCACAGAGGGAACTCAGAGTAAAAACCCTCTATCAGAGCCAGGGGTTAATCTGCCAAACTCTTCAATATCATTCTGTGCAATAGGAGGCTCCGGAGTTATTTTCGTGTGGCTCATAGCGGCCCTGCACCCCCTCCATCATTTAACCAATGACGTCATAGGTTTTTTTTATTTTTGACAATATATTTTGTACTATATTTGAGATCGGAACTTTTGGTTAAGACTTGAGATTGGTAAGTTTCAAATCCTTAACTTGAAATCTACAATTTATGGAAGTTTTTGATTTCAAAGACTTTTATTGTAAAATTAATGAAAATTTCAATTCGCATCAAAGGAATTTGAATCCTGCACTTCTAATTGGTCCAGCTTTGAGAAACTTGATGATTCGGATTAATGTAGAATTTTATAAACAATTTAGATCAGATTATTCAGATAGAAGAAAACCAACCTGGCTCTATCATAGCTGGAAATTTTCTGGCTCCTGGTTGGAAAGAAGGATTTTTGTGATGTGGATTTTACAAAGTTGATGTTATTCTTTCACCCTTAAAAAACAAAACTAATTTTGCATCATGAATTTTATTAGGGATTTAGGACTTAAACAGTGAATGAATTAAATATAATAAAAATTGATAAATATATAAACTCTCCACGGTGAATAATTGTGAGAAGAGGGGTCACCTAACAACGAAATAGGATTGATCCTGAATTTATACTTAAATGTCTGAAGAAACACATAATGCATTACAATATACATATTCATGCAGTGTAGATATATGTGTGAGAGAAAACATAATTTCAATTGATCGCCTATCAATGTGTAAGGGGCTTGTCCAAAGCTGTTTTTAAAGATGTCCTCATTTGTCTAACTGAAAATTAGATACATATTTTGTTCCCCACAAAAAAACCTGTAATTGCCAATAACTTTGTATGTATGCTGTTTTACAAATAGTTTAATGAGAATTTAGATTTAAAATGTAAAGAATAGCTAGAAAAATAAGGATACCTCAGTCGATACTTCTTAATCAGCCACAATTTTATATCACAAAATACCTGAAGGGTCTGGCGTTGCCCGCGAAAAATTAAAAAAAAGTTTTGACAAAAAAATAAAAGATTAAAAATTAAAAAAAAACATATCTAATCTTTTTAGCCTTTAACTTACCCTGGCCACCCTCATTGAGTGTCCACAACAAATTATAGCCCAATTTTGGCTGGCCATATGCAACATATGTCTTGTTTTATTACATATATTGTAAAAGAACAAAGGGGCCTCTAGGTTGATCTAAGGTTGATAATCCCAATGAAGGATCAATAAGTTGATCTAAGGTTGATAATCCCAGTAAAGGATCGATAAGTTGATCTAAGGTTGCAGTGAAGGATCGATAAGTTGATCTAAGGTTGATAATCCAAGTAAAGGATCGATAAGTTGATCTAAGGTTGATAATCCCAATGAAGGATCGATAGTTGGTTTAAGGTTGATAATCCCAGTAAGGGTCGATAGGTTGATCTAATGTTGATAATCCCAGTAAAGGGTCGATAAGGTTGGTCTAAGGTTGATAATCCTAGTGAAGGGTCGATAGGTTGATAATCCCAGTAAAAGGTCGAAAATTGATCTAAGGTTGATAATCCCAGTAAAGGGTCGATAGGCTGATCTAACGTTGATAATCCCAATGAAGGGTCGATAGGTTGATAATCCCAGTGAAAGGTCGATAGGTTGATCTAAGGTTGATAATCCCAATAAAGGGTCGAAAGTTGGTCTAAGGCTGATAATCCCAGTGAAGGGTCGATAGGTTGATCTAAGGTTGATAATCCCAGTAAAGGGTCGATAGGTTGATCTAAGGTTGATAATCCCAGTGAAAGGTCGATAAGTTGATCTAAGGTTGATAATACCAGTAAAGGGTCGATAGGTTGATCTAAGGTTGATAATCCCAGTGAAAGGTCAATAAGTTGATCTAAGGTTGATAATACCAGTGAAAGGTCAATAGGTGCTTGAAAGCTGGTTGATATCCTCTCTTTCCACTACGCTTCCATAGCCGCAAACACAAAAAAAATCTGTATTTCAAACCTAGGAACATATACAGTTTAGTAAACAAATAAACCAAAGTACAAAATATTGGTATAAATCGTTACAATATTTGAATGAACAAAATTTACTAGTATTAGGTAGGTAGGGGAAAATGAGGAGTTGATAGGATCAGGAGAATAAAACGTTTTGTGACATCTGAAAAATAAATACCAGGTTGGTTACAAAAATTATTGTTTACAGCGATAATCACGAATTTTAAGCATTTCTATATTCAAAACTTGTTTTCATTTTTCATGGATTTAGCGTCTATTGATAGAGGAGGTTGGGTTTAGTTTCGGCTCTGGGAGGGTAGTTTTGCTTTCAAGACGACATCTATTGGGGAAAGGTTTTAAAATAGGATTTATGATCTTCAGAAATGTACGAAGATTTACTTTATTGAATCATAGATATAAGATCAAATTTTGAAAAGCCCAGAAGTCATGTTTTTTTACAATTTTTTTTTAACAAAATAGCCATTGAAGAACTATTAAAGATCTCTGATCATATGTCTCATATTTGTTGGGACACCATGTATTATCGTAATTTGATTCCTATTAATTAAGCAATTCCTGGTCTGGGTACATCAACATTAAGCACAGAACAGGGACCTATTAGCTTCATTCATGTATAATTTCTTCCTTATTTAAGTAAATTATGGGATACCAATTATTGTATATTATTGTATTTTAAAGATAAATATAATAAAATTATTAAATATGCAAATCATTTGCATGCAAAGTAGCATTCTTTTTTTTTGTGGTAGTTGAGCTAGAGAATGAAGGAACAAATTGGTTCAAAATACTAAGATTTCTGAAATTTTTCCAAATTCATTAATTTCCAACACATAGTTATAATTTATTAGCACTTTCAAACCAATGCAAAGCATACACAGAAAATCGAAAAAGGTGAATGCGGAAAGGTGAATTTGGTATTTTTACATTTCTGCATTGTAATATAATGTAATTTACTTTACAATAACAATTGAACAATTCCCTTATGTCAAATCTTTTTTATCATATTAAACAAGTCTGTAGTGGACTGAGTTCCTTTAAAAGTGAAAACATTTTTGTTTCTAAAAATGCCAGCTCACTTACAAGAACCAATTTTATGTGTGAATTCTGCGAATTTAAATAAATTTTCAGGTTTCCTGGTCTTCATTTGGGGTCGATCTTTTATTTTTGCACAGTCCTTGTAAAGAAAAGGCGTTTAATGGGACAAATACTGTATAAACCTTTACAGATGGAGCGAAATTGGGGAGGGGTGAAGCGAAAGACCCGCCCCCCCCCCGTGGCCACCACTACCTCAAACAAACTTACTTTTGATCGCTACTAATCTTACTTCTATCTGTTGCGTATATAAGAAGAAAATTGTTAAAAACGACTCATGCTGAAGAACGTAGCGTCCATGCAAATTCAAAAAGTTGCAACATCCAACTCGGATCATAAAAATCAATATAATTCCAAACAAATCATTCAGACATTACAACCAATAATCATCGATAATTTTTCGACGCATTCGTATATAGTTGATATTGCATAATATTTATTTTTTATTTTTTATGATCTGATAGTTACTTTTAAAAACATTTATTCCTGTTTCAAGGATTTTTGATAATGAAGACGACATTCTTATATTTTCCAGGAATGATCGAAAATCCAGCGCCAGTGAAATATCATTTTTAAAAAACAAAATCAAATATTTATGACTTTCTAGATTTTATAGGTTCTAGGTTGTATGTCGCACATTTTGAGCTAATCATGTTAAGTATTTGATTGAAACGCAGTTTCAATGAATAATCTCATTATGGCTAAGTTTAAAACATTAAATTATTTATGAAGTACAACGTACTGCAAGTTTACAGAATATCATGTTCACATGCTTTTTGCTTCAATCAACCCATCAGTTTTGTATCTTCTCTAAACAAAGTACAGATTAGTATTCCAAAAAAATCAAAAGTTTTGTGGAGTAAAATGTAAACAATCAAATTCTCGCCGAAAGCAAATCTCCTCGAAGAACTGCCCAACCTGTGTTTCAGCGAGCAAACCTCCGTTCAGGTTCAATCCTCCGAGCGGATATAGGTTGGGAGGCCAGAGGAGGGAAACGAGGATTTAGGGCTGGATGATGAGGGGGGGGGGTTAAAGTGGGGATACATTTTGAGCAATCAGTTTCAATCTAAACTGCAGAATAATGGCACACAATACCTAGCTCAACCAGAACTATGCAACTTAAATAAAAACTCAAGTAAGAGATTTCTTCAGAAATAAATAATAAAAGAAAAGGAGTTGAAACGTTAGTCAATACAAAAATTAGGAAAGCACATCTTTTAGAATAAGAATAAGAATGAAAAAGAATTACAATAACAGTAAGAATGAATAAGAATTATAATAAGAGTAAGAATTAATAATGATTGTAAAAGTGAGAATGAATAAGAGTTATAATAAAAGTAAGAATAAGAAAGGATTGTAAGAGTAAGAATAAGGAAGGATTGGAAGAGTAAGAATGAATAATGAAATATTGTATGAATAAGAATGAATAAGTAAGGATTGCAAGAGTAAGAATGAGTAAGGATTATAATAAGAGTAAGAGTAGAGGAATGATTGAAAAAAAAGAATAAGGAAGAAGTGTTAAGAGTAAGAATGAGGAAAGATTGTAAGAGTAAGAACAAGGAAAGATTGTAAGAGTAAGAATAAGGAAGGATTGTAAGAGTAAGAATATGGAAGGATTTTAAGAGTAAGAATAAGGAAAGATTGTAAGAGTAAGAACAAGGAAGGATTGGAAGAGTAAGAACAAGGAAAGATTGTAAGAGTAAGAATAAGGAAGGATTGTAAGAGTAAGAATATGGAAGGATTGTAAGAGTAAGAATAAGGAATGATTTTAAGAGTAAGAACAAGGAAGGATTGGAAGAGTAAGAATATGGAAGGATTGTAAGAGTAAGAATAAGGAAGGATTTTAAGAGTAAGAACAAGGAAGGATTGGAAGAGTAAAAACAAGGAAAGATTGTAAGAGTAAGAATATGGAAGGATTGCAAGAGTAAGAATAAGGAAAGATTGTAAGAGTAAGAGTAGAGGAATGATTGTAAAAGAAAGAATAAGGAAGAAGTGTTAGAGTAAGAATAAGGAAAGATTGTAAGAGTAAGAACAAGGGAAGATTGTAAGAGTAAGAATAAGGAAGGATTGTCAGAGTAAGAATATGGAAGGATTGTAAGAGTAAAAATAATGAAATATCGTATAAATAAGAATGAATAAGTAAGGATTGCAAGAGTAAGAATGAGTGAGGATTGTAATAAGAGTAAGAGTAGAGAAATGATTGTAAAAGTAAGAATAAGGAAGGAGTGTTAGAGTAAGAATAAGGAAAGATTGTAAGAGTAAGAACAAGGAAGAATTGTAAGAGTAAGAACAAGGAAAGATTGTAAGATTAAGAATAAGGAAGAATTGTAAGAGTAAGAATAAGGAAGAATTGTAAGAGTAAGAATAAATAAGGAAGGAGTGTAAGATTAAGAATAAGGAAGAATTGTAAGAGTAAGAATGAGGAAGGAGTGTCAGAGTAAGAATAAATAAGGCATTTAGGAATTTAGGAAGAATGATAAGAATTTTAAGAATAAGAATAGAAGGAATCGGTTCAGAGAAAACAAAATCAGCCTAACAATTAAACTTTCTTTAGAATTAATGGGAAAATGTTTAAATTTTTTATCCAAAAATTTTATAAAAATCTTTTGAAAAAATGTAATTACTTTCTTCAAATCCTCGACAATTGTGTTAAATTTTGAATAACAAAATGGGTTTTTAGAAAAAAAATCTGTTTTATCACCTTTGCAAGATTTGATTGGTTGAGATTTGCATTGATTTTCCCCAGATTTTGTCATTAGTCTTTATTCATCAAAATAGATCTTATATAAAACTTTGATATAGAAGAAAAGAAAATTATTCTAATACAAAAGAACATTGGACATAGTGAACCTAGGACATAGAACATAGAGCATTGAACATTGAAAATTGAACAGTGAACATTGAAAATAAAACATAGAACATAGAACATAGAACATTTAACATGAGCATAGAACATAGAACATTGAACATTGAACATTGAACATTGAACATAGAACATAGAACATTGAACAGTGAACATTGAACTTAGAACAAAGAACTTTAAACCTTGAATATTGAAAATAGAGCATAGAACATTGAACAAAGAACATAGAACATTAATCGTAGAACATTTAACATGAACATAAAACATAGAACATTGAATAAAGAACATAAAACAAAGAATATAGAACATAAAACAAAGAACATTGAACCTAGAACATAGAACATAGAACATAGAACATAGAACATTGAACCTATAACCTAGAACAAGAACAACCCCTTTACGTTAAAATGTTGTGGATCTTGGAAATTTCTGCAGAGAGAAGAGTTTCTCTAAACATTTACGTTCAGTTGAAATATAGATAGATAGATAGATAGATAGATAGATAGATAGATAGATAGATGGATAGATAGATAGATAGATAGATAGATAGCTAGACAGATAGATAGATAGATTGGTTGATTGATTGATATATAGATGGATGGATATATAGATAGATAGATAGATAGATAGATAGATAGATAGATAGATAGTTAGATAGAAAGATAGATAGGTAGAAAAAAATAGATAGATAGGTAGATAGATATGAAAGAATGAATTAATAAATAGACAGAAAGATACAAAATTTAAAAGATAAAGAATCCCTAAATGAAAAAATATTTATATTTATTGATATTTTTTTATATTATTTTAGAATGGATCACCCGACAGGAGGGGGAAGGGGAATCTCAAAGGAAGTTGCAACTTTTATATTTTGAATTTTAAACCAACAATTCAAAAAAATTGTTAAGTGCGCCCCTGGAAAATATAATTCTTTCTAAAAAATTAAATTTTAACGAAACATTTACATTTACTGTCAATAGTTTCATCAATCTAGAGAATAGGGGTTTCATTAGCAATTGCGCAAAAATAGCACAAAACTTTATCTGTAGCCGACTCACGTTAGACCAAGGGTAGGGTCAATTTCAATGCCCACCGGGCTGACTCCTTTGATCATCCTCCTTTACGTGCAGCAAGTATCGTCCCAACCCTATTCCTATGCTGACTCGCGGTTTCAACTTTTAAGGTGCGGCCAGACTTTTTACAATACCCGGCCTATCATATGCCTATTTGACCTACCCCACTAGCTTAGATTATAGTGGGTGAATCTTGTTTAGAAATAGTTGTGAGTTTTCTCAATGTCTAGTGTTTTTGATAATTAGGGTATACATAAGTATATTTTTTATTTAAATTAAAATCAATTTTCAACAAAAATTTGAGCAAATTTTCCCCAAATGGAATAGAACATGTTTTTCCCATGGATCCCCCTAGTTTTGAAAAATTATTAAGTGTTTAGAAATCCCACTTTGAAAAAAAGTCTGGGTTTGCCAAAATCTAGAATAAAATAGTTTAATTATACAAAAAAAATTAAAATTTTTTTTCTTGCTTTATTTAAAGATCACGTTTCTGGATGAACGGAAAAGTATAAATGAAAGTGTTAATATTAATATAAAATGTTTAAAATCATTTCTATAAATGTTGAAAGCTGAGTAAATTGGAAAGTTTGCAATCAGGACGAATCGGCTAAATGTGTTTCTTTCTCACTAAACATTTGAATGATTTATAAACCAGTTTTTGGTTCATTTCATGAGCAAACCATTTGAATGCTAAGCTCATTATTTCATAAATTATATCTTTATGATTCTTTTTTACCAATAATCTATCATACTCAGCAACAAACTCAGCATACTTGTGTAATCGAATAAAATATCACTTTTAACAATTTGCTAAAAATTACAACTCATTGAAAGAAAAATATTTAAGAATGTTATAAAATGTTGTAGCATAAAATATCTCAGCAAGAAAATTTCATTGTATATATTTTGCTAGCCCGTCCTGTTTGGCTCTAAAATGGTTTTGATTTAACCTAACCAAAAACATTGGCCAACAAATATGTGATCATTTGACTTGCTGAGGGCCAGGGGTGGGGAGGGGTGGGAGTTCTCAACTTTTCTTCCAAGATTATGCATCTTAGAGAGTTTCATTGAACAAAACATTTATGTAGATTTTGATTTAGAAACTAGAAAACATAAAGAAAATATGGTGAAACCAAATAAATCAATATTTCTCAGCAAAAATATTCGTGCCAACAAAGTTGCTTTTCTCCATTCACAAAACCGGGTTTCGGATACTGTGGTTCATGTTTCAAGCTCTGGGGTTGAATATTTCTGGAATCACAAAAAAATCCCATTTGACTAGCTAGCTAAATACTCACACCTGTTGGAACAACAGTCTGTCCAGTTAATTAAAAGTTAAAAATTTCTAATTTCCAGTATTTGCTTTACATTTTATTTAACGGCACTAGCATTTATCGGACAAAGTTTTATTGCGGAATTTTTGTTGAGTTTTTTTTAACTAGCTATTTAGTGATTAAATAGCTCTTTGCATTATTAGCTATTTTAACTAGACATTTAGTGATTACATAGCTCTTTGAATTATTAGCTTTTTTAACTAGCTATTTAGTGATTAAATAGCTCTTTGCATTATTAGCTATTTTAACTAGATATTTATTGATTAAATAGCTCTTTAAATTATTAGCTTTTTAACTAGATATTTAGTGATTAAATAGCTCTTTGAATTATTAGCTATTTTAACTAGATATTTAGTGATTAAATATAGCTCTTTGAATTATTATGCTATTTTAACTAGATATTTATTGATTAAATAGCTCTTTAAAGTATTAGCTATTTTAACTAGATATTTAGTGATTAAATATAGCTCTTTGAATTATTAGCTATTTTAACTAGATATTTAGTGATTAAATAGCTCTTTAAATTATTAGCTTTTTAACTAGATATTTAGTGATTGAATATAGCTCTTTAAATTATTAGCTTTTTAACTAGATATTTAGTGATTAAATATAGCTCTTTAAATTATTAGCTATTTTAACTAGATATTTAGTGATTAAATAGCTCTTTGAATTATTAGCTTTTTTAACTAGATATTTAGTGATTAAATATAGCTCTTTGAATTATTAGCTATTTTAACTAGATAATTAGTGATTAAATATAGCTCTTTAAATTATTAGCTTTTTTAACTAGATATTTAGTGATTAAATAAATAGCTCTTTGAATTAATTGCTATTTTAACTAGATATTTATTGATTAAATAGCTCTTTAAAGTATTAGCTTTTTAACTAGATATTTAGTGATTAAATAGCTCTTTGAATTATTAGCTATTTTAACTAGATATTTAGTGATTAAA